AGAAATTGTTGGGAGACCATGATGTCTATATTTTGGGATCAGGATGTCCATTCAACTGTAAAATCGTCGTCTTCTTGGCGAGAAGATCAGAATAAGAAATAACCGTTATTCCTTTACCTTGTTTTTTAAAAAAGAAAAATCAATTTCAAAATTGATCACGAGTTCTGCTGAACACTGATATATTGACACCCACAACATCCGTTTATCGATCAGGTCAAAATCATCGAATCCCGTCAATAGTTTTATTTTTCAACTAAATATGAAACGTAGCTACAGATAACCAATAACAAGTTGTCTATCTTCTTCTCTGACAACTTCATGATACAGGAATTTATTAAGCGAAATATTAGAGTTTTGCTTGCGAACCCGAAAAATTGGTTGAATATCTTCCTTTAAAAAATGTATTTAATATCCTACCTGAAAATTAATTCGATCGAGATTTAATATAAATGTAAAATTTCTAATCTATAATCTTTTATCTCTGCTGATGGCTCATTTTTCACCTTCCCATTTTATCGTAGCTCCTCTATAAGGAAATTGTAATGGGAACAGATATTTTGTTCAAAGGTAAGTTTGTACATAATTAAGATTTTTAAAAAATCGTAGGAAAATTTAAATGACTTCAATTTCTAGGTCTGAAGATCATAATGCACAGAATATTATCGTTTCTGGAGCCAAAAATATTAATTTATTATCGAAAATGAAATAATTACCAAATATCTTCATTGTTAGGTGACTGAAGTCTTCACTCAAGTACGTCAAATATGTGCTGGTATTTTTTAGCGCTGACGTAGTTGTAAAAAAGGTCCGTTTCGAAGAAAGCTTTTTGTCAAGACTGCTTTTTGATTTTTTCCAAAACGATATATAATAGAAAAATACACGTTGTACCGTGAATACAGTATTTACTCGCAAAATTTGTGTAAATATAAGCTTATTTAATAATGAATAAAGCCAGCGTTTATAGCAGTTATTTTCACAGAATAAAATCTGCCAAACATATACTTCACGTAAAATATGACGTAAGAAATAATTTTGCCGGATCGCTCTTCAGTTAGATTCTTTGAAAAAAAAATTTCATCGCTCAAAGAGATAAACAAAAACAAACTGATTTAATTGGAAGAAAACACAATTTGTTGAAGGCATTCTCACGGCTGAGCATCAAGTAAAACACAACTAAAACGCATGAAGGTCTTTACGCACAGCTCAGTATACTTCGTATTTAACGACGCTGTACATCGTTAAAAGTTGTTAAAGCCAGTGAAAAAAAAATGAAGACGTGAAGATCTTGTATTTTTCCTCGAACTCCTATCAACTGAACTAATTCTTCCCGGTGCAAGGAGACAGAGAGTACAGCGAACTGTCATAAGTATTACGACGTGCACGACCGTAAATAAAAGGAGGACTGAAAAGCACGCCTCAGACAACCTTTAATGCACGCATAACATTTATGCCGTCTGACTCCAAAAAGTTTGGACAACCACTTTTTTAACTCAATTGGATCAAGGATTCCAAGTCTTGATTGATTTGTGTTATTTGACCAACAATTTTTTGACCCGCAAGTCATCCAATTCATTTTTTGGTTCGGCGTCAAAACGTTTTTGAATAATGTATCTCAAAAAAGTTTTCGTCGCGGTTTTTCTCTGAGAAGGTCGAAGCGCAAATTTCAAAATAATTTTTGGGACCTGCGCGATGATGATTGGGGTTTGCAAAAACGTTTTACGAAATATATGAACATTACAGCTATATTTATTTGAACTTTCAGTGCAGCAGAGAGAAACGATTCAAGGAACATTGATTAAGCCGGGAAAACATGTTTTGATACGATTTTGACCAATTACAGTAATTAATTTATAATGCATTAAAAGAAAACTGTATCTTTGGTAAAGAGAGGTCTAACCTTTAACTGCCGTCATTATTGTCGTAAATTTATTAATGTTTATTTATATAAATGTACTGTACGTGAATCACATTCAACAAATCATTTAGAAAAGGGTTCATTTCACGAAATACGTATCATATAGAAAAAATATTTTTGGTACTGTACTTCAAATTGCATAATAATATTCTTATGCCATGAAAAATAATATTGTAACTTGATGCCTCTTTAGTGCATTAAAGAATACTAGACAGAATTTCAGTGAACTTTCTGATGCAGTACTTGAGAGTTGAGACCCCCGTGCTTTTCTCACTTTCTCGTATTTAATCCGTGAAGTTGAATCGTGAAAACAGAAGTGATCCTATTATTTTATTGATATATTCAAATGTTTATGCATTTCATTGGTCTTGAAAAGTAAAATATATCACATATTATGGAAGTACAGTACGAGACTCTTATCGCATCGAACTTTTATTTTGCGCAGTCAGTTTTCAATTCTAACTTGGTTTATTTTTTCAACTAACAATAAAAGTTTTTTTGCCGTTATTTTGTGTAAATCGATCCAACCTACTCCGTGTCACAAACTCACAATATAAATCTTGTGCATATAGATATATTACTGAGAAACCGATAGTCCTTATTTCAATTTTTGTAGTGCGTACTTAAAATTTTTTTCAATGCATTCGAAAATTTCTAAGGTCGTGTATGTGATGAACGCTTCGAACTGGGTCGAATTTTTGCCGATTCAACTTGAAATTTTTCATGGGAGCCGCCGAAGATCGAAAGAAAATAAACAAGACTAAATGAAGTTCAAATCCCAACAAAATACACTACAGTATGTTTAAAATAAAAAACGGGGCGAAATAAAGCAGCAATCTACGAATAAAAGCCTTCATCACTTCACTTTCGAAGCATTTTTCCCGCGCTTGAAAAATAATTAACCCAGATCCCATCACCATCAGTGGCCCGATGATAAACAAAGCGAAATACAGTCCGAAAACTGAGCATAGCTTCGTCGTTCTTTACGTAATACCANACAAAATCCGCCAAACAGACTTCTTTTGGTTTAAAATTAGTGTTGAAAATTGAAATTTTTAATTTTTTATGTAATTGAATTTGTGTAAAGGACTTTTTGTCTAACAGACTCATCCCTAGCACAAATCAAGTCCATTAGACAGGGGTTGACTGTATGTGTGCATTATACTTAATTATAATGGAGAAATTTGGAAAAAAATGTAACTAAGAAAACTTTTTTGTTCGGAAAAAGTTGAAAATTGACCAGATTTTTGTTCAATTCATGTCTATGCAGTCAATTTTTGTATTTATTTTCAAAATTTTGTGGTTTTAAATTCACTAAGAATTGGGATGCGTGTCTTACTCAGGGATAAGATTATAGCCAAATTTCCAACTGAAAAACCCCTGTGCATGCCTTACTCAAGGGCGCGTGGTACTCAAGGTAAATATGGTATATATTTATAAAGGTGCACATTATTGAAACCCCAAGAACTCAAACCTCTGTAAGTCAATTTGTTTTTATTCAAGTCCATATATGCCTTAAATGCCTCGTCAGAAACAAATGAATTAAAAACCTCTCAAACTTGGAGACATTTCCTCTCAAACCTCGGTAAATTGAATTTTCTGAGGCCTTTTGGTTAGCATTTTCTTATGATGTAGGAAAGATAAAGGCAATAAAAAAATTTATTGGTGTATTATTGAAAGGAAGAAAAAGAATAATTGGTCAAATGAGCCTCTGTCTCCAAGTCCAGCCTCCTGTCAACTCATTTAAGAAGAAATTTAAAGTCCAGAATATCACCATTCAAAATTTTCTGCAATTCTTCTGTTTCCCAGAACAAAAATGCTTGCTTCCCTAACTCAAAACCTCCCTATAAGTCAAAAATTCCCCCCGTTAAATTTGTTGCTGGTCCCTTAAAATTTGACTTGGAGAGGTTCAACATATTTAAATTGTATTGTATCTAGAATGTACAGGTAGACTCTTTCTTTACAACAATCTTGCCTACAATGATTTTTTTGGTGCAACAATTTTTTTCTACTCACAATTACATTATTTGAATTCTCAATTATTATCCAGATTTTCACTGCTGTTACATGAGAAAAAATGGGTGCCATAGTATAGTACTGTATATGAGTGAAGGACCAAAAAAAAGGGTTCACAAACCTTTATAGGTGGTACCTCGCAATTTGACCTCCTGCAATTTGACTGTCCTGCATTTTGATGGTCAAATTTGCAGAGAGGTTGACTTGCAATTTGACCCTTGCCCCACAATTCAACCTGCTTTTTCCATTTTTTTTGTTTTTGAACTTCTATTTTGAATTTTATGGAATGTCTCGCAATTTGACTGACCTGCAATTCAACCCTAGTTTGACAATGTATTAGGGTCAAATTGCAAGGTACCACCTGTATACCTTTGCACCATTAAAAAAAAACTGCATCTGACTGCTGACACTCGAAAAAATGTGTCAATAGTGCTGTTAGACTAACCAGCAAACTAGAATGAAATAATTTAGCAAAATTAAAGAAGTGAGCAAAAAAACTAAGCCTAATGTATCTATTCTAAGCCAAAATTAATGCAATTAATGTTTAGCACTGATGAATATGGTAATCTAAAATCACTCGTATTTATTTTCTGCTTTCTTTGTCAATATTCAGTGGCCTGGGGATTGCAATGTCGAAGGTCTCAAAATAACTCACAGGAACTGAAGGTGGATGTGTGATGATTGGCAAACAATGACGGGAATAATCTTCAAACCGTGAAATCAGTGATTCATTAAAGATGGCTAAATTAAACGTCACTCGTCAAAGAGCCTCATCAGCTCTTTGTTCAACCTCGCGGACATGGACGGATTCATCAGCGCGTTTTTTCTCGCTCATTCTCGTTTTGGCATTTTTGCTGATGACCGGCATCGAGAATCAAACGGGCACTGCCGAAGCTCAGTCGATATTCACTTCTATCAACTTTCTGCCAAATTTGACGAGTCTGGTATTCCCGAATCTCTTGGTGCACACAACTGAAGGACCAGTGCTTGGGAAGCAGGAATGGAGTCCAGAGAACCGATTTTATCGATCATTCAGAGGCATTCCATTTGCTCAGCCACCTGTAGGAAAACTTCGATTTGAAGTGAGTATTATTTATGCGAGATTGGCTGTTTCGAAATATATTCATTATTTGAGGAAATGAAAGTACTGGAAATATCGGGGTTTCTGTCCCGAGATGAGGTACAATAAGTGATTCGACTGCTGGAAAAACTTGAGCAAAAATGATTATTGTCTTCTTTCAGAGGGTTAAAATAGAGTATTGGGTCTTATGTAAATATGTCACGTATTCGAGCAAATCGGTAACAGCACAATTTTATACCCAATGATTTATCGAGGATAAAGTCTGAAAATCGGCGATCAAAAGGCTTATTTTGCACAAGAACCTGATTTTATTTCGGTCTGTGAAAAAAAAAACAATCGTTCGCTCTCTCAGACAGCTTATCTAACATTGAGGTAAGGGTAAGTTGATTGCAAATCGAAAAATAATCACGCTTTGCTGATTAAGGTTTCAAGGAATTTTGTGTCGCAATTTTCAAATTCCACTCAGCACAAATTTGAAACAGCATCTTGAATTTCGGTCCATGATGGAACTACAGATCAGTAGTTCCATCTGTAGGACGCATTTTCCATGCATTTTGCTGTGCCAAATTATTTGATGGGGAGGAATCTTGTTATAACAAAGCATTTTGGACCTAAAAACGGTTTGTTATAAAGAAAAATTTGTCCAACCATAACCAAAATTATATTGTGACTATATTGGACAGGGACAAAAATGGTTGTAATCATTAATTTGTTGTAATGATATCTGTTGAGAGATTCTACTGAATTTCTAGCTGCATTTTCACACAAGATTATGAAGTTCTAAGCATATAATATATTGGAATCCTTCTTCCTCATGCAAGTCCCAATTAAGCAAAGTACAAGTTTTTATATTTAGAAAAAAATAGAAAAAAAATAAAAGTAGGTTTGTTGCAGCAACAGAGAATATCAGAGAATCTTTTCATTTGAAAAATGAGTATGCCAGCCAAAAATGTTCCATACCAACTGGAATATTTTGATAATTTGACAATCCAATTCCCTTATGCTATTTATTATTAAAATTGGGGTCCACAAAGCAAAGCAAAAACATGTAGGTGGCAGCTTTGGCAGTGTATATATTGTGCAAAAAGTAAATTTGTTTGCAATGAGGCCAAAATTATCCAGGGTACATGTGGTACCTTGCAATTTTAACCTAATACATTGCTAGACTAGGGTCAAATTGCAAGACACTCCGTGAAATTTAAAAATATAAGTTTAAAAATGCAAAAAAGTGGCCAAAGCAGGTTGAATTGCACAGCAAGGGTTTAATTGCAAGGTAACACCTGTTCTACTGTTTATTAATATGAATACAGTCAAGCCTGTCTAAGTCAAATTTCAAGTGACCAGAATAAATCAACTTAGGGAGGTTATGACTCAGTGATGTTTTGAGATGGGGTGGTTCTTAGGTAGGGAAACAAGCATTTTTGTTGTGGGAAGGATGAAAGAATTGCCAGGATTGTAATTTGTAATATTCTGGGTCTTAAATTGATTTTTAAATGAGTTGACCAGATGCTGAACTTGGATGCATGGGTTCATTCACCCAATTAGTCTTTGCCTTCCTTACAAAATACATCGTTCAATTTTTTTATATTGATTTTCTCTTTCCTGTGTCAAGAAAATAATAGCCAACAGGCCTCAGAAAATTTGAGGGAAGGTTTGAGAGAAAAAGCATTCAACTTAGAGAGGTTTTTAATACATTGTTTCTAAGGAAATTCAGACAGGGATTTGACAAAAAATATTGACTTTGTGAGGTATTCAACTTATGGAGGTTTGACTTCTCAAGGTTCAACTGTACAGGTCATACCTTGCAATTTAATGTCCCACAATTCAACCATCCCACAATTCAATGGTCAAATTTGCATGGACATCAACTTGCAATTTGTCCTCTTGTCCAACCTGCAGGAGAGACTCAAAATGTCAAAGTTGATGTGTAGAAAGCATCAAATTTGACACTGTATCACAACTTGACTGCTTTGCAATTTGACCCTTACCCAGCAGCAAAGGATTAGGGTTGAATTGCAGGACACCACCTGAATAACGGTTCATGTACTTTTCAAGCCACCACAACCAGTGCCCTACTGGTGGGGAGTGCGATTGGCAACCAACTTCAACAATCCATGCTTGACTTACCTCTTTTGGATCACGCTTGGAGAAGAAGATTGCCTTTACATCAACGTTTTCACACCGGGGGTGAGAATAATATGTCCTAAGAATATATATATTCCTAAATCAGAATATATTTACAATTAAACATTTTTTTTTTTAAATTCAAGTCTTCAGAATTGGCAAACTCGGAAGGATTGGTTCCTGTAATATTCTGGGTACATGGCGGAAGTTTCTATTCGGGTTCGGAGCTGCAAAGGACCCTTTACTTGCCAGGAACATTCATTGACAGAGGAGTCATTTTTGTCAGCTTCAATTACAGACTTGGGCCTTTGGGTGAGCATTCTTGATAAATTAAAATCCAATTTATTTTCTATAAATACGAATTCAAGTGCCTCTGCTGATGACTGCAAATTTTGCTGGAGGATGAAAATCCAGGGATTCCAATGGTAAAATATTCATTAAATATTCAGGTTGAATAATCTTAAATTTTTTTTTTCGAAAAGAAGGAGCACTTTAATCTTCTAATTACAAAAACTGCGTGTACACCTGAAACATTCGGGTTTTAGACCAAACTGAAGGAAATACTACATCATATACTCAAGATTTTGACGAGTGTGTATATGAAATGAAGAAAACTATTTCTTGAAGGTTGAAATATTACACACAATCAAAAATCAAGCATTTCAAAGTTCGAAAGACTGTTTTTAAAAATCAGAAATGAGACGATCTACTTGAATCTGAGAGAAAATTCATGCATGAACAGAATAAAAAATTTGTTTATTTTCGTGTATTTTTCCTCTCAAATTTCTGAAGTTTTTTGTGTGACTTTGTAAAAAGGATTTTACGCATGAAGTCAAATTTCTTTCAAGTTTACTATACTCTTTTGGCTGCGGAAATTTGCGTGTGGCGTTGTTAAACCTGACCCGCAATAAATCCCACGCGAATTAAAATAATGTGGGTGAAAATGACAGAAAATTTGCGCAGAAAAATTCGATGGTCATCACATTTTTATACCTTCAGTCGTACATGAAATGAAAGGCTGTGAAGACGACCACGGCAAAATATCAATTCATTTTGATAACAAAAATATATACTACTATATACGGAATAATGCCTTTAGATTCGTGGAAAAATGTCACCATATTTTTCTTTTTCTTTTTCTTTGTGTCATGTACGTGACTCGTAAAAGTTATTATGCGTTAAATACTGAATTTTTTCCTGCTTTACTTTCGAAGGGTTCATGACCACCGATGATGCAGTGATACCTGGGAATTACGGGGCCAAGGACATGGTTGCTGCTTTGTATTGGGTTCAGCGGAACATCCGAAAATTCGGAGGTGACCCGAACAAGGTCACTCTTTTAGGTCAAAGCAGTGGAGCTGTCTCCGCTCATGCCCTGACACTTTCGCCGCTTACCACAGGTATGTAAAAGCTTTCTGTCGTGTTTATCAAACGTTTCAAATGTCATCATAAAATTCTCATCATTGTCTGGTATTTTCTATTTTTAGCTTCTTCTTTTTTTTCTTACTGGGAACGACCATCTAATGGAAAAGGGGGATGAGAATTATTTATGATTAGAAACGGGTCATTTACATTTCTACAAGACAAGCAATAATATACGGAAGGGGCATGGAAAAAACCCGTAATATAGTACTTTAATTACAAGCTGCTATTATTAAAATGAAGATATTCCGGTTTGGGCTGGAGATTTGCCCCGAGATTTTAATCAAAATGTTTCAAAGGATCTCGCAGCTGTCTTCTTCTGAATTGTTGCATCCGGGTCTACCATAATTACTGTAAATCCTACATTACAACATTTTTGGATAAGAAAAAATCACTGATTCGATAATTTTCTCGTGATTTTTTCAAGCTGACAAAATATCGGCCAAAGATGTTAGATTCTAATGCTAATTCTTTTCTACATGGATTTTTGTGAAGTTTTATGGCTATTAAAAGACCACCCAGGAATAAGTTGCCAATTAGATTTTAGGTGACCCTTCCGGCAGAAAATCCTGTTGTCACTTATAAACATATCATAAAATTAAAATTTTCATGTTATTGTATTTCGGTTGAAATGGCATGCAGTTTTATTGAAAGAGTAAGTATTTGAGTTGCAAAGAAACGATAGCTGCTTGCTTCATTTGACTGAAAAAGTATTAGTACATGATTTTTTATGCAAAATATTTGTACATCAAAGCATTTGGTATAACATAAAATTATCAGAGTGTATAATGAAGAATTAAATCAGTAAAACTTTGAATGGCCTTAACGACTCGAGGAAAGTTTAATCAATAACTCAAAATTTAATTTACATGCAGTAGTATAATTTTACATCATTAGATCATGCACATTTCTAGAATTTTCTGTGATTTTGCTTACATGCGTAGCACAAATTATTAATTTAGAAAACACGCTGGTGTGAAAACGGGGTTTTGTTGAAAATAAGCTCAAATACTCGTATTTCGAAGTGCAAAAGTTTCCGCAGTTTGATAATTTGAAGATTGGATCTGATTCTGAATCTCTCTGCGAAATAATTCGGATGAAAGACGCATTCCGTGAAATTTGAATTTGAAAAATTAAATCACATTCACGTAATAATTAAAATGAATTATTTTCGTTCCAGGTTTGTACCATGCTGCGATTTGCATGAGTGGATCAATGTTTTCCATTTGGGGCGTGAAACCGAGAGGAAAACGCATTGCCACAGAAATGGCAAAGAAATTGAACTGCCCCAATCCGGAGGATTCCAACTCAATTTTGAAATGTATGCGCAAAAAGTCCGGGGCCGAAGTCGTCAAGGCCATGAAAACTTTCTTCGTGAGTTTTTCAGCACGGAAATTAGCGAGCTTTTGCTTCGGGATTTTGATCTATGAAAGGAAAAAAATCTTTACGAAAGGCATTTTTTATGTTTTTGAAACAGTATTATGGCATCAGGTATGCGATGCCATTTGGAATAGCCATTGATTCTGCAGCTGCAGAACCCTTCATGCCTCAGCATCCTTTGCAACGAGTCCAACAACGTGCTGCAGAAAACATTCCAATGATTTTTGGAGCTCTGCCCGAAGAAACAAAATTTTTTCAACATGGTAAGAACATGTAAAGAAAGTTGAAATTAAATTTTTTTTCAGCTGGAGTTTTTCCTATGAAATCTTCAACACTTTTGGCAATTTTCCCAAAATCATATTTTAAACATTTTTTTGGGGGAGCAAAATTATTGGGGACAGATTTTTGCCACAATATAAGTTGATGTCAAGTGTTGCAATAATGAAACACAACAATCAGTCCAGGACAAGACCAGGAATTCCATGTAGGAATTTTTAAGTTTATAAATTAAAGTATACCGTAATTCAAACAACTAATTGAATGAACAACTCAGCAAACTCTTCTCAAAGCTAGGATAAACTGATTAAACATCAACTCAACTGACAAACTGATGATGATATAATCAAACATGAGCTGCTTATATATTCAGAGATATTTAACATAGTTTCAATTTTTATATAATGAAAAGACCTTTAATAGGTTGAGAATAGGGAGTTGAAGATGCTAAGGTGTCAGGAAGCACTTAAAATCTGCAATTTTGAGGAGGCGGAAATTATTAATGATTTCCACGAATTTATATTCAATAATTAATGCACGGAAAGCTTGCCCAACACAAATTAAGTGATTGCAACAAAATTTTGTTTGAAGTGCTGATGGATAAATACTACTCTGAACTACAAATTTGGCTCCTCTTATATATTTTAATCTTATATGCACATAAAATCTGATTAACTGAGTAATTGTTTTTATTGGGACCTTCTTGTAAAAAATGACCTTTGATATAGTGATTTCAGAAAAAAACTCAAAAATGACAGGAAATTAAAATCGTTGCTTAAATTCTGCATCAAAATTCCTTGTACTCTTATAATTAATCAAACGAATATTTGATTAATGACATCACGGCATGATTTCCCAATAGAATTCATTGCGCGTGTGATCAAGGATCACAAAATAATAAAAATAAAACTGCAGGCAATCATCCTTTAAGGCAAAGAACACATATTCAAGGGGGTTTCCTTGAATACATGTTCCTAGTTTTTCAATAATTTATTTTATGATCTTCAGCAGAGTTGAATACAAAGAATAAGAATACAATGCACAAGACAGATTTGAATAATAACACAGGAGCAACATA